ACTCTGTCAATTCATCATCACCTGCAGCATGGGTAGACAACTCTGCTGCTCTCTGAAGAGCAGACATGGCCCACATTAAGTACTTTTCGAAATACTCTCCGACTGCCAATGCAATGTCCCCAAAGCATGAAACTATGGGAGGCTTGACAGAGTGATGCAACTGGTTGCTTGATAAGTTCTTGAGAAGTTGTGTCATAATCCCATCACAGTAAGGCACAATTTTTTCCTCCAATGCCCAGGAAATATCACCCACAACACCAACTGTGACAGCACAGACTTGGTACTCTTCGAAATTCTGAAGACCAATTTCCGGGTACCTATAAAACTCTGGCATGTACTTTGCAAAATCTGGGCCAGTTGCATAAGCAAGGGCTCCAATTACAAGCATGGCCTCCTCATGTACGGTAGCACTCCTACAAGCAAAAACCTTTAGGAAAAGTCCCATTATCTGATCTGCATTCTAAATAATAACATGTAAACACCCACAAAGAAGGCCTTGCAATTCATTCTGCTTCTTCCTCTCATTGGTTTTCAGTTTTTGCCCCTCAAGAGTGTTATGAAGCTCCATCATGATGACAGACACCAATTGCAACACCAATGGAGCTGTCTCATCAGTTGAACACCTCACCACCTCATTCAATGTCTCATAGGCAGCAGTCCTCAGCTGGGATTCCCCAGCATCTTCTCGGTGAGTGACAGAGAGAAGGGACTGGACAATTTCCTGGAAAAAAAGGAGTTAAAGGAGATGACTGACCTACATCCTCATAACCTTGAGCAAGAAAATAGAGAGCACCACAGGCTTTCTCAGCTACATTTGGAGTATCCTTCATAGTCTGTAGCAGAACCGTGACTATTTGTTGGCAATTTGCCTCAGAGATGATGGGTGATTCTACAGCTGAACCATGAAGGAATTCAAAGATACGTCCCAGAGTCCAGGCAGTAGTGTCTTTGACATGGCCATTAGGGTCTTTTGTCAAAGCACTGAGCATGAAGGTTAGGGCAACATTCACAAGAGGTATTAACTTTTCAGGGGAAGGGCCCTCCAAGATTGAACCAAAGGCATAAGTTGCCGCCTCTCTCTGCCTCCAATCTGGTTTTGTTATATTCTCCTCAATAAACGCCATAACAAGTGGGGAAATATCGTCTCCTACAGTCCATGCAACCAAACCAAGACAGGTTCCCCCAGCCATTGCAATATTCCAAGCCCCCTCATCCTGATCTTGATCCTCCTCCTGCTTCAATAGTGTCTCCAACAGCACAGGAACAAGCGCAGGGAGTGCCTGCTTGATAAAGTAAAAGCAAGGAGTATCAGAGTCCCCAGTAAAATCACCTCCGTATTCTTCCAAAATATCTATCTCCTCATCACATATTGAACTCCAGAACTCAATAGCTTGAAGGGCGACAGGTTCTTCATCTTCCCTCACAGCCTTTGCCGTGATGTTAAAAATATCCTGGATAAATGGAGCTAGTTTCTCATAATAAGTTGACGAAATAGAGACCAAACACTCGAAAGCTGCTTGCCTTATCCTTACTTCTGGGGACAGGGTTGCCTCACAGACAACTCGCATGATATAATCCCGCTCCATGTCAATGCTGAAATTTGCCTTAGCAAAGCCCAGCGCATTGCAAAGTGCTCTTGTAGCAGCAAGCCTCACATCAGTGTTTCCTTCTGATGTACTCATACCTTGAACTACAGCTGTAAGTATTTTATTTACTTGATCTTGATCGATAGCATCAAGGGAGACCTCCTCACACAAATACCCAAGAGTCTCCAAAGTGGCTTGCTTTGCATAAGCTGGTAGCTGATGATCATTTGATACAAGTGAACCTATCAACTCAGGCCACAGTTTCTGTGGCAACTCAATGCCAGCAATCTTGGCAATGACTTGAGATGCAGTTGACCGGGCATCAGATACTGGAGAAGAGAGAGTCTTTAATAAGCATGCCTTAATCTGGCTCTTTGTATTGGCATCCAATGACATCCATCTTTGAAGAAGCTCAAACTTCCTGGGCTGTTCCGTAGCATCCAATGCATTTTTAAGTATCAAACCAGCTAATTTACACGTTTCAACAGGCTTCTCCTCATTTGCCAACTCTCCACAAAGTGAAAGAAAGAAACCAGGAAGGTTCTGCTCCTGAAACTGTTTCAAGCTTTCTTCAGCAGTCTTCTGAACAGCTCCATCTGTCGATTGTGCATTCAAAAGCACCAGTGTAACTTCCATCACCCTAGTGGTTCTGAAAGCATCAACAATTTAATGAATTATATACACAAACTCAATAGCTAAATTCAGTATAGTGTAAATATTCCAACACCTCAATCCTGAAAATACATATAAAGGTAAAAGAACTGTATAATGAGAAACAAATCAAAACTAAAAGGAAAATAACATAAAACCCTTTCGTTAAATTTCATTTAAAAAGAGCAAACAACAGTTAAAAGAATGATACCAAATATGCAGGGAATAAATCAAATCGCTATTTTCATCTCCCATTACATACTTAGCAACTAATAGGAACACTTAAATATTCACCGTCAATTGTGCCAGTTCAACATTAAAAACTTAAACTTTGAAATTTGACAAGTAAAATCAAAGAAAGATCCCAGATCAAATTATACTTAAGTTAAATACACTATCACGTAGAAATTCGAACACTCAAATTTTCCAAAGAAAACCTAACAACTAAACAGAACCCTAAGATTATAAAACAAAATTTGAGAGCGGATCAAAGTCATTCAGTACCCAAAACCCTAATCACAAACAAAAATGAAACATTCAGAGTGGAGTTCCAAAAAAATCACCTTAAAATCAGGAAATTTGATGTAGACTTTACCTTTCACTGATCGATAAGATCAATAGCAGCTGCGCTGAATAAACCCTAAAAATTGGAGAGCGAGAAAGAAAAAGAAGAAGGGAAAAGAAGAAGAACAAGAAGAAATGAAGAACAGAAGCAGAAGCAGAAGCAGAAGCGAATTTGAAGCTGGAATCGAATAATTTAGTGTACAGAATCTAAATTGTAGATTTTTTTTTAAATATACTAATATTTATAGTAGTAGCGTTAGCGTTGGCTGTTATTGGCTAGCAGGCTTTCCACAGTTGTTTAAATGGGCCCAGTTATAAAGTTGACCGACTTCTTTTTTCTGGGCAATTTGATAGTTAGGATTTGCTTACAGAAAAAAAGTCAGCCTAGTTAACGGTCAAGATTGATTTTTTAGAAACTTGGTTGACCTGAGCAAAAGGTAACCTTTAGTCATCTTGGTCGGACGGTTGAAACTCTTTAGTAAAACAGGTGGTTGATTTTATTTTACTTATTTTATTGGGTTCGCATGAAATTACATGATAGATCAGTGTGGAGTTCGTTATCGTCGAGGCTGTCATCGTAGAGTGTGCAGTTATGGAATGTGTTCGTGATTGAGCATCTCTTCATCCGTCAAATTCGCATCTTTGTTATCATCAGGCTGATGTTAAACAAAACTCAAACAATGTCAATGTCATGATGATGATACTACACTTCACCTCGTAAACCAGATAATTTGTGAAGTAATTGGCGTAAAACAGTTCACCAGAGTAAATATTTAATTTTAGAGGTGAATTATCGAATATTTAATAAATATTTAATTTTTTATAATTTTATATTTATTAATAATTAATTTTAAATTAAATACTTAATATAATATTAAAATCAAAATTTTATTCTATGATCTTATATGTGATGGAGATATATTAAAATAAGTTATTTTATATTTAATAAACATTCAAGTTGAGTACTTTTATTTATTGTTAATTAATTTTAATTTAAATATTTAATATGATATCATCGTCATGATTTATTTTTGTTGTTTTATATATAAAAAAGTATGTTAAAGTGAATTATTTCATATATAATAAATATTTAATTTTTGATATTCTTAAAATGATATCAAATTAAAATTTTTTTTTGTTTTCTTACACGTGATGATGATACATTAAAATAAATTATTTTATATCTAATAAATATTTAATTTTTTGAATATTTAACATGATATTAGGTTAGAATATTCTTTAAGAAAATCTAAAAATTTTGATCTATATTATATTAAATATCTAACTAAAATCAATTGAAAGAAAGTGAAAGAGTCCGACTTCAATGAGTTCAAAAAATTAGATATTCATCGGATAATATCACTCAGAGATAAAAGGAGTATGGGTCTCAATTCCTCCCTCCACCACCAGGTTTCTGCAAAAGGTCAAAGTTTGTATAGGATCATCAGCTGGGAAGAGTGGAAAACAATAAGACGTGGATTTGGGACCTGTAACTACTTGTCCTTGTTGAGATCTAGGTTTGCAAATTTGTACTGTAGCTGCAAGAGCAGCAGCACAGCTTTTGTAAATGATCATCATCCATTCGTCTGCTCAATCAGGAAAAAAAAATCAGTAGTTGATCCAGTGCATGCAAATGACAGAAGCTCATAGCTCAATTAAAAAACTAATCAGTGAAAATGTCAGGAAACTAACTTCATCTTTTCCCTCAACAATTATTTCTGAACTTCTTCATTGTAACTATCTTCTGGATGTAAGAACCGAGGGGGAAAAATTGGTTAAACTGATCTAACTTTACTGCATTGACCAAACAAGCGAGCACTTTCAACAAAAAAAATTGAAGAAAAAACCACCGCCTTCGCCATTTAATGACAACGAAAGGGATTAGAGATGCGTGGATAGTGGCAGCATAAACCGATAACAAGAAAATGCAGCGAGGAATATCGTGATTTTTATTGTTATCCATTGAAGTCAATGAACATGGGATGGCGGGAAAAACAGTTATTGGCAGTTAGAAGTGAGAGGCGCAAACATAAAGCACTCAAATTAAGAGCAGCGAACGGGGTTTTCTTCGAATTTTTTGGCTTTTTAATTTTTTTTCGAAAGCCAAAAGAAGAATGTTAGAAAGTTATGCTTCTTGCCTATTTCGTAGAATCTTCAATCTAGTTTAAATCGTCAAGGTCAACCTGTCAACCGTGTGTAACACTTCTCAAATTAACGACCAAGATTGTCCCAACACAATGCTTGTTCTGATTGGATTACATTACCAAGAGTGAGTTTTTACTCGTCCACATCATCATGTATGACAAGTTCCAACATAGGAGGTTTGAACACAAAGTCCCCAAGAGTTACGGAATAAGCTGCTATATAAACCTCAGTTGACAATCAATGTCCGTGCAGTTTATCAAGGAAGCATTTCTCATCAATTATTCAGAAGCTAGCAGATAATTCTTCACTTGGCTCACTCAATGGATTGTGCATTGAGACGAAGCTCGTCTCTGATCTCATCACTGGCAATGATTTTGTTCGGTAAGTGTGTTGTTTCTCCATTCCATTACCTGAAAGCTGCTTCAGTTTTGAGTAAAAGAAAAGAAATGGAGATAAAGATTCATCGGCTAATTTCTCTTGAACCTTTTAATTTCTTGGCAGGAAGTTTATTTGCATTCACTATTGCAAAAGAGGAGGCCACCAAGTTGGGAACAGTAATCGGGATAGACCTTGGAACTACTTATTCTTGTGTTGGTGTGTACAAAAATGGTCATGTTGAGATCATAGCCAATGACCAAGGCAACAGAATTACGCCTTCGTGGGTGGCATTCACAGACAGTGAGAGATTGATCGGTGAGGCAGCAAAGAACCAGGCAGCTGTCAATCCTGAGAGAACTATCTTTGATGTCAAAAGACTTATTGGAAGAAAGTAAATATTTCTTTTCTTAGTTTACAATGTTCATAACTTCATATATAGAATTTGTGCACTAAAAGGCTGGATGGGTTTGGGGCAGATTTGATGACAGAGAGGTTCAGAAGGACATGAAGCTTGTACCATACAAGATTGTTAACAAGGATGGGAAGCCTTATGTTCAGGTGAAAATTAAGGATGGGGAAACCAAGGTCTTCAGCCCTGAGGAGATAAGTGCAATGGTTCTTATAAAGATGAAGGAAACAGCGGAATCATTTCTTGGAAAGAAAATAAAGGATGCTGTTGTAACTGTTCCTGGTAACAATTTTTTTTTTTTTTTTTGGTTTTTTACATTTGCAGAAGTCAGGTCTTGTTGACTTACAGAGTAAACTATGGTTTTTGTTCATTAAGGTTGACTCGAAATTTACATGTATAAATATCAACAGCTTACTTCAATGATGCACAAAGGCAAGCTACCAAGGATGCCGGTACGATTGCTGGACTGAATGTTGCTAGAATAATCAATGAACCTACTGCAGCAGCCATTGCCTATGGTTTGGACAAAAAGGGTGGTGAAAAGAACATACTTGTCTTTGACCTTGGTGGTGGAACATTTGATGTCAGTATCTTGACCATTGATAATGGCGTTTTTGAAGTTCTTGCTACTAACGGAGATACTCATTTGGGAGGTAAGCTTCTTGCCAGCTACCATGTTGCTTTGGAAGTTAAACTCTCAGTTGAAAATTCCACAAAGAATTAGGACTAATGCAGACTAAAATTTTCTTCAGGAGAGGATTTTGATCAGAGAATCATGGAATACTTCATTAAATTGATCAAGAAGAAGCATGGAAAGGACATCAGTAAGGACAACAGAGCTCTTGGGAAGCTAAGGAGAGAATGTGAGCGAGCCAAGAGAGCACTGAGCAACCAGCATCAGGTCCGCGTGGAGATTGAATCTCTGTTTGATGGAACAGATTTCTCAGAAGCACTAACTAGAGCTCGATTCGAAGAGTTGAATAACGATCTGTTCAGGAAGACCATGGGACCTGTCAAGAAAGCCATGGAGGACGCTGGACTGCAGAAGCACCAGATTGATGAAATTGTACTTGTTGGTGGAAGCACTAGAATTCCGAAGGTTCAACAACTTCTCAAGGAATTTTTTGATGGAAAGGAACCTAACAAGGGTGTGAACCCAGATGAATCTGTCGCTTTTGGTGCTGCTGTACAGGGAAGTATCTTAAGTGGAGAAGGAGGCGACGAAACCAAAGGTAAAAATTCTCTTTCGAAATTTTCAGTTGCCATATCTCTTTCTTTTCACTAGATCAATCAAGTTCTAAAAACTGAGAACCGACCCTTGTTTTTGTCACCAAATGTGCATAAGATGTACTTCTACTGGATGTGGCACCGCTTACCCTTGGAATTGAAACTGTTGGTGGGGTGATGACCAAGTTAATTCCTAGAAACACTGTTATTCCGACCAAAAAATCTCAGGTTTTCACCACCTACCAGGACCAGCAGACAGCTGTCTCTATCCAGGTAATATATATTTTACTCGCTTGATTGATTGAGTGCTCAATCATCGACTCCATTGTCTATGACATAAAATAACAAGCATTTGATGGAAATTAACTCCGTAAACTTGATTGTAAAAAAACAGGTTTTTGAAGGTGAAAGGAGTCTCACAAAGAACTGCAGGATGCTTGGGAAATTCGATTTATCTGATATTGCTCCAGCTCCAAGGTAATTGATTTATCAATTATCATGGCTATCTTCGATCAATTTTAAGAGAATTACATGAAAAGGCGTGCCTCATTCGTTCGTTTCTACAGAGGAACCCCCCAGATTGAAGTTACGTTCGAGATTGATGCCGATGGTATATTAAACGTGAAGGCAGAAGACAAGGCCTCAGGGCGGTCAGAGAAGATTACAATTACCAATGACAAAGGGAGATTGAGCCAAGAAGAGATTGATCGTATGGTTCAGGAAGCAGAGGACTTTGCCGAGGAAGACAAGAAGATGAAAGAGAAGATCGATGCTAGAAACAGCTTGGAGAACTATGTTTACAATATGAAGAATCAGATCAATGACAAAGACAAGCTTGCTGACAAGTTGGAGTCTGAAGAGAAGGAGAAGATTGATTCAGCAGTTAAAGACGCCCTGGACTGGTTGGAAGACAATCAGAATGCAGAAAAGGAGGACTTTGCTGAGAAGCTGAAAGAGGTTGAAGCTGTTTGTAACCCAATAGTTAGTGCTGTCTATCAAAGGACGGGCGGAGCCCCGGAAAGTGGATACGATGCAGATGATGACTCGCGCGATGAGCTCTAAAATCTTTGGTTGGAGCAGCAAGAGGATAAGAACTAATAGCTACACACCATCGACTACAGGAGCATTTTTCCTTTTTTGGTTGCCAAGACTAGAGACGGGTGGGGAAAAGGGGGACTGGGACACTGAGCTGGGGAGAGGATTGCTCACCTGTTTGCTTCCAATTTCCTAGATCATTTTTTTTTTTTGGTAGAAAAGATTACATTTAAGCGAGGGTTTCGACAGGGACTTTGGTGAATTGGCGCTGCCCAGCTCTTCAGCAGAAGAAGGCAGAGGTTGGGTATTGGTTACACCATGTTCCTCGTATGCGTCCTCGTGACTACGGCTATTGCTTACATTTAAATTTAATCTCATATACCGTCACATCAAACAATAGGTAGGTTCAATGTTCACATCCCACACATGACATAACAGTATATATGATACATTCCACTCAAACCCTTTGAAGGGAAACATCCAAGTTCTCTGGATACTCCACAGTAACCTCCAGCTAGGCCTCTATCCAAGCTCTCAACTTTTACTGGATCGGTAACTCGTGATACATTGAAATTAAATAATTCACCTATCTCTATTTTACCACCTTGCAGAACAAGATTGGGAACCAGTTGTTTGCAAATTTTTTTTATGTTGGCACCCCGAAAAGTTCAATGACCAACATAGTGCCCAACAATAGCATTTAACGATGGAAAAAGAACAAAAGTTTACTTATAGCCCACATACATCCATGAGAAATTTGAAAAGAACTATCTTTAGCAGAAAGCAACCTCAGAATAAACCAAAGGGTCAATCAGCTCTGCCTGCATGTTGCAACCAAGGCCAATCTGACTCACACAAGTCAACTGGAGTGTTGCCATCAACATCCTTCATATCTTTGTCTGCATTTTGCTTCACAAGAAATTCAGCAATATCTTTCCTCTCACACACAACAGCGTAATGCAAGGGGGTTTGGCCTTCATTGTCCTTCCAATAGAAAAATAAAAAATTTAACAAGGATGACAAGACCAGAAATAGAAAGAGAAAAATATATGAAGAATATTATGCACCATGGAAGAGGTTCAAGCTGATGCATGAACTACCTAAATCCCTTTTTCTCATTTACTCCGGTAATCTTGAAAACAAACATTGCAGAGATAATTATTTCCTATTTTTTCATGCTTAACGGATCCACCAATATATTATGAATAGTTTCAGCACACAGAAAAATTATCAGGGAGTGAAAACCAATAAAACAGCAACAGCAATAACAACAATCACCTTAGCATTCACATCAGCATTCCTGCTAATAAGCGCTTCCGTAATTTTAAGATGGCCACGGTCAACAGCCCAATGCAATGGGGTCCGGCCTTCACTGTCTGCAAGCATTATAAGCAAACAGCTTGTAAGGTCAAGAAAGTCTTTAAAATCCCTGGAATGCAAGTCTAGTTCTTTCTTTAAAGGAAAGAAAACAACTAAATAGAAACAAACCTAGCAAATTCACAGAAACACCACTTTCAATGCATTTAAGCAAATTATCCAGTTCTCCTTCCCTGGCAAAAGCATGAATAGCATCCATTTTCCTGAAAAATAATATTTTTTTCACATTCCCATCAAGGTTCTCACAATAACCTCGGATATGAAGCAATAAAGAATTTTTTGTTCAAATGACAGGAGAAGGAAAGTTTAATTCATCAAAGAATCACTTATAAACATGAACTCCTGTGTCCTAACAGGAACTATTTCATAGTACAAAAAGGACAAGCATATCAACAACCAGCACATAGTTCATTAATGGATCACTTATAAACCTGCACTCCTTTGTGCTAACAGGAACTATTTCATAGTCCAGAAAAGGGCAACCATATCAACAATCAGCACATAGCAACTTATACTACACCTAAGGCATCATATATGAAAGGAAAAATCAATGCTTGTGAAAGAGAATTTAGAATCCCTGACAAACAGCAAAAAGTGAACCCATAACGTGCAGAACAAACAGTAAAATGAACTGAGTTATGCCCAAAATCAGACTTGAAAATATAAATCATAAATCCTGAAACAGGCACATTCCTTATTCATAGTCCACACTCGACAGTTAAATGACCTTTAATTATGGAGGGTTAAAAAATTGTCTGATGGCACCATAATTATATTTTATTGTATAGGCAAGTGGTAAGTAACAACCACAACTTGGCAGTAACAAGTAAAGCACACATTGTTGACTTATACCTCAAGAAAGGAAGAAGTTTTTCTATTCAAATTTTACAGAATAATCTTTCTTTTTTAAAACTAATTAGGCTACCATAAACACTAGTAACTTCAAAGGCCTAGATTTTGCTCAAGCAAATATCGCACATCTATAAGATAAATCATTAGCCATGCCCATGCCAATAAATTCAAGATTGATCACATTCAAATATACAACAAAAGGTCCAGTTTACATCAAAATGTACCAAAAGAACAATTCAAGTAATTATCTCCTACATTGTTAACCTCAATATGACAAATAGACCTAATGAAAAGCATTTTGAAACACCTATATGATGAAGTTCTAAGAACCTTACAACTCATTTCCAGATTCCTCTTCATATACAAAAGAGCTGAAAACTGGTCCCATTGGTCCTTTGACATCTTTACTTTCAGCATTATCAGCCCCACCTTTGGTCTTCCAGGAACAACAGCAACCAGTGAATCAGCAAAAGAGGAAGAAAAATGCAAAGAAAATAGATAAAAATAAAAACAGGATCAAGGAAAAGGTAAGATAGCAACCCAATAAGATTAAAATCGCACCATAGTTGAACCAGCAGCCCAAGTTGGATAAAGCTCTGTAACGATGTCAATGTATTTCTCCATTGCTTCTTCTGGAGGCATAGCACCTAATTTGTGCCATGCCTGCCTAAGAAAAACAAAATAACCAAAGTCAATAACTAGGGCTGCAAATTCTCAATCATTTTTCAGTCATTAAGGTATTGAATTACGTAATAGAAACACTTTTCAAGCTAAATGGCAGCACCTCGCAATGAGGGAGTAATAAAGAAGAAATAAGAAAGAAAAGGGACAATCCAACTTTCGCTTATTGAATGAGAAATCATGTTAATACTCATCAAATTTACCGAATGTCTACTCATAATAAGAGCTTCATGAAAACAAGGTGAACTTTGAATCGTAGAAAGAACAAAGAATACGCTTATCAGAACTAATTCAAAACTTTAATAAAAGAATCTGTTGTCGCCAGCGGAGTAAATTAAATTATACTCAGCGAGCTCATCTGTAGCATTCGCATTTCCAAAAAAATGAAAAACCCCACAAACAAACAAACAAAAAATTCACGAAGAAATTCAGAAAAGAAAATAAAATGAGCAGAAAACACCAGTAAGCACCGCCTTACCACTTAGCACGAGCCGTCATTTTCAACGCGGAAGGCTGAGGAGCAGTGCAAGGTCCTTCGGTGGCAATCTTGTACAAACCGTAAAGCTGCAACTGCACATCACTCGACACTTTCTGCGACAATCGATCAGCCGCCGCAGCCGCCACGAACGCCGCCGCCATACTAAACGCCTCATCCAGCTCCGTACACTCCACCCCTTCCCAATCGTCGTCATCGTCATCATCGTCATCACCATCACTCTCGTTCCTAACACTTCCCACTTCGGCGATCACCGAATCCGCCTCGTGTGGTCCCCCGCAATCAGTACGGTCATGGCGGTCGGATCCGGGTCCGGTGTCGAGTTTGTTGTGCGATTCGACATGGGTGGTTCGGGCTCGAGTGATTGAAAGGTTATCTTCTTTGAAAGAAACGACCAAGGATATTAGCTTAGCAAGAAGATAAGAGAAGATAAGACCTATGAAAATTGATTGTAAAAGCTGTTGCCACTCAGCCATAGAACCAACCCAGATTTTATTTTCTCTTTTTAAAGTCAAAATCAAAACCGAACCCAAAAATTTGAGCTTGAATGAACGGACAAAAGATGAGAGAAACAAAAAAAAAAAAATACTACAAATGAATCATCGTTTTCATCGGGGTTAAAGTAAAACCCACCCTATAAATTTTTTTGAAGATTTGAAGAAAAAAAATTTTTTTCTTCCTTCTTTAAATTTTTTTATATGAGTAGCAGTTTAAAGAGAGAGAAACTTTGGCGCCGGAGGAACAGATTGCAACCCCATTAATAGGAAGAATGAACCAGGGATGTAAAATGTAAATCAAGGACATATACTTTACCAAGTGGAAGACAAAATCTTTGGTCGTACCCTGTCATTACGTGTTTAAGGACAACCTCGTTCGCATATTGCACATCTTGTCGTGTAAAAATCACCTGTATAAATAATAAAAAAAAACAAAATAGTGGGTCAGCTACATTAATAGCCCAATTAAGGTAGGTCAGCGGCGTGGAGCTTAACAACTTTTCTATTCGGCTGCATACTACTTGGTCCAATATGAAATCTATTTGTATGCACTGTATGGGCCCATAATGGAAAGTTGAAAGAAACCTCTCTATACCCAGTTTCAACCCACTTCTCGTCGATTCCAAATTTGAAACGGCACACTCTTTATATCTTCCACTGGTTAATCTTTCTGTTCTTGACGAAACCACAAGCAAGAATAGATTCTATATATGCTGGAAAGAAACCGGTGATGCAAGTGAAAAGGAGATTCATGAAACATTTATATTACAGGCATTTCCCCATGATATTTCCTTGTACTTCTTAGCAACCATTATAGTTAAAATTAAAGCACTTGGAGATATCAAACACATTTTTTGTTTCCTGGTCCACAAAGAAACTATAAAAATAAGTCCATTAATCCTTGGATCAATTGATATTTTTTTTAAAGTTGATATTTAAAGATTGCTAGTTTAATATGCAAATAATATATTCTTTAGCCAGTAATAGAATAAAACTTAAGAGGTTTAAAGGTACATGAGAAACTTAAAAAAAACCTATAGAAAGAAAAGCTAGAAGAAAATTGAAACCGAATCATTTGCAATTTTATATCCTGGATGGTTGTCTGATTGAAACAAAGTGTTAGTAGTGGCACTTTCCATAGCCTACAACAGGAAAAGAACGAAATGGGTTTAAAGAAAGTTTGACAAAGGTGATCTCTATCTATATATCAGAAAGAAATAGGAATGAATTAGAAAAGGGAATTAAGAAGATGCGTCGTGATCATCTGTGATGGCTCCAGTAAGCATTCATGGCAAAAGCTGCGCAAGCTCGAACAGTGGTAGGAAGGAAGCAAACGCCATCTTCTTGAATCGGTCCACGTACAGTCCAAACCCTGGCCGCAAACATAATAAATAGTCCTTTGCAAAGCATTTTCATCAGCGCATGTTTAGGGAAGACACCATTGTTTTCCCTTAGACCTTGGCGTTGGATTCAACTGTGCAGCCGTTGGCACTGGGGTTGGGTTGTTAGGAATGGATGATCCAAACCGTCAAAGCCAACCAAAACAATCAATAAAACTCATTAATTATTATTATAAATCGACGTTATCTAATAATTCATGGAATATGCTTTTACTATGATTATTAATTACTAGTGGCAGACCCGCACTTCGTTGCAGACATAATTGATTACATTAATAAATATATATTTGAAAATATAAATAAATATATATAAGTACTTGTGTAATGTAAATTTGAGTAGTAAACATATAAGATAATCATATGTTTATATTTTTAGTTGGGTAGTGTCTAAAATCTTTAAACCAAGATAGAGGTTTGTAGATGATAATGAGACAATATATAAAATACCTATAATATATTCTCAATGAGTTTTGTAAGGTATGTTCAAAATCAATAGCAGAAAATTAAATTTGATGTGTTAAGTAGACAATGAATAAGAATCACTTAGACAAATTTTGGTTTGATGTTCATTCTAGTGAATGTAAAAGCTGATGATAAGCATACCATAGAAAACGAAATTGATAAAAACTGTATATTAGAGTTGATATATATGCCTGGTACATTAGATGTCTTCTACCTTCATTGCATACTTTGCATCTTGAATTTAGATATCTCTCTTGTCAATCTCATCATTTTATAATTTAAACAAACTTTTGATATTGGTGTTATAGATGCAACAGCTTCAATTACATATAAAAAATTAAAAAATGTAAGGGTACATTATGACTTAAAAAAACCTTAAAATAATTTATTTAGAATATATAACTAAGCACACTAATTGATGTAATTGTTGCCGATTAATTCTGTAATTAAGATAACGAAAGATGTAAAGTTAAAATCATGGATAGGATATGAAGCCATCTACAACTTCTTTAAAATTAATGCACCTTGTGAAAATCACAATAATATCTCAAATAATAGTATTGAAAGGATTTTTAGGCCTTGTCATGATGTAACTCTGGAAAGAACATAAAGTTGGTCATGTGTTGAAACAGAATTTGGTAAATATAGTCCAATGATATCAAGGAACTGTTCTTCACTTTTGTTGATGGTTATAGCATAGTAAAGCTTGACAAGAAATTATTTCCTATTAAAAACAAAAGATCATTCTTTATGTATAACAGTGAGGACTATCCTAAGTATAAAGACTTTGTTCTTGGCAAAAGCACTAGATAAAATCTTTCTTTTTATAATGTTCGGAGTTAATTATACCATCAACCATATACATTTGTTGAATAAGCTAGAAAATTGGTTCATATTTCTAAGAAGCATGATCAAAACACTTATCTTAAGTTGAGTTGATGGTTAGGAATACCAAAAAAGTTGAGCAAGTAAAAAATTTCTATAAGACATAACATTTCTCGGTTTGAATTAAAGTTTGAAAATTGCTTGATTGATTAGATGTTTTAGTTTTTTTTTTTTTTTTTTGTTCAAACAACTTAGAATTTGCAATACAATATTATATTTTGAACTGAAAAAAGGAAGATTAAATATTAATTGTTTTTTTATTTGATAAACTAATCAACAAAACATATAAAGGCTTTAAAATGGTTAGAAGTAAGCAACTTAACCATCAAATCATATATGATATGGTATGCTTGTACTAATGCAGTGAATGCAGCAGTAGCTTGAGTATGCAAATGCACCATCAATTGTACATTTAACAGATTTTGACCTCTACTATTGGTTAAAGCATTATAGTGTGTCATTAATTGTGAAAGAATATCAGAGTCATTTGGTAATTAATAGAAACTCTAAGTGCTATCATTTGGTAATTAATAGAAACTCTGAGTGCTATTTGTAGTCCAAAATTAGGAATCAGGTTCAAAACAATATTCATTAGACAAATGGTGCTACTGCTAGTTGAACCATTATAGACAAAATTGGATTGAGACATTTTTGTTGGAGATTCAACAAAACAGTCAGCTACCACATCATGTTGTGTAATTAAGATGTTGTGCAACTGACCATCATCACTTATAACAGTGAGCTACCACATCTGAACTCAATGATAATTCATACGTGACATTTATATTAGTTGAATTTGATAATTCTTCATCAAAATGGTCTAACCTATTCAATATAGCTCTGTTTTAGAACTTAAATAATGTATAGACTTACTAACATTTTATCTACCCTTGGCTTTTACAATTAACTCAAGTGGACAAAGTAACAAAATTAACATTCATAATGGGATTTAAATGTCTTTCCAACCTATTTGCCCTTAACATTTGTACCTTCATAAAGCTATTTTGCCTTAATAACTTTTACAACAAACATGCAAAGTATAAAAAGCTAAAACAAAAGAAGTTGTCAAAACTATAGCAAATAAAAAGACCACCATCAGCATAAAATATCAATAAAATTATAAGAATGCAAACATAAATTTGCATTTTCATTACATAACAAAACTCAAATACAACTCTAACTAAAGCATACATAGCATAAAATTATTTTCTATACCATAATTACAAAAAAGTAAAAAAAATAAAAAATCATATTTATATTTTAAATCATTACCTGTAAGAAAATTGAGTAATAACTTTGTAAAAAAAAACTGCAAATAAAACATTGAAGGCATTAATTAATTCCAAATATAAGAAAAATTATATATATATATATTTTAACAAATGAAATGTTTGCTTGTATAACCATTATTATGACATAGTAAATAAAAAACTTAACACTTTAAATCACTTAAACAATTTACTTAGTTATACTTTAAATAATAACAAAAATCTAAGACAAAATATAAACCTAAAACATTGAAAAAAAAAAACTAAGCTACGTAAGAATCCAATAAAAAGAAAAAGATAAATAAAATAAGTTAGTAATATGTAAATGTAGTACAAACTATAGTCATACCCATTGTGCAAGTATAACTTAAGCCTCAAGTGATGTAAGGTTGCTGCCTATGTGGATGCCAAACTCCTTTTGCATAAAGATCTTGTTCACAATCATTCTGATGAAATATTTGGAAAGACATTAAAGCACTCTCATACCATCATTTTTTTCAAGTAGGCAAAAAATCTAAATGAACAACCAATTTCTTCCTCTTTGCTAGTTCTATTATTTGTTACTACGATGAAAAATAATGTAACTTACCAATTTCCAACTTGGTTTATATAATTATTATCTAGTATGCCTTATTGAATGAAATAAAATAATAAAGAAATGATGGAAAGATGGATATAATATTAGCATACATCCATGAGCACCAAGCTATATTAACTAATAATAGCTTTAACACTTTCTTATCGCCTATTCTGTCATGAAAGACATAATATGAGAAAAAAGTAAAAGGATATAAAGGTGGAATACAAGGAGTATGGAATATACATAAATATTGTGGATTTCACTTTTTTTTTTCTTTTACATATAGGTTAAACATCACAAATAATTAATCGATATCATGTGAATATCTCACGATAACTTTTGAAATTATGAATTAAGAGATGAAATATTTTAATAAGATAATAATATTAAGAATGCCACCAAATTGCTATAACTTTTAACCATTTGAAGATCAAAAGATATAACGACATAAAGATGAAAATCCTTGTTACTCTATCCTCCAAAAAAGGTTTTAATATCATTTATGAAATTTATACTTTTTTTTTTTGCTGAATAACAAAATTTATCAATTTAAAGATTCAATGTATTTCAATATTCGTTGACACATTCTTTTAATAAAAAATTAAACATGATTTTTAAATATAACATTAAAAAAAAGTTTAAAAGGCAAAAGAACTTCATTTGACAAGAGCACAAAAAAAACTTTTATAATGTTAGCAAAAATATTAAACAACAAATAATATGAGTACATTACATTAAAATATTGATGTTAGCAAAAAGTATATTAAATGAAAAAAAAATCTGAACACTAAATGTCAAAGAAAAAATTGTCAAGACATCATTA